TGTTTAACTTTTCCTGCAGATACAGAGAGTTGTCAGGAGAGTTTTCTGTTCTTATTTGGGCCTTCTGGTGAACTCTAAGAATGACATGGCTCTCGCATACACCCTGGACAACCCAAATCGCTCTCTGGGTCACATCGCCTTTACTGACCTTAGGCATGCTTCCTGCGACAGCACCTCGTCTCTCTTCCTGGTGAATTTGCAATGAGTACTTTTCAAATATAGATAAGTTATTATTTGCGCAAATTGTTTTTGTTCCGTAATGTGAATGCTAATTAATTGAAGATTTTTCTATATTCAGACAGTAACATCATTTGTCAGGGCCATACAGCTTGGAGGAAAGGGGTATGCCCCACCTGAGTCTCACCCCTTAAGGACGCACGTAAAGGGCTTCTCAGAGTTTCTCAATTTTATCGACCAGTGTCAAGAAGTTTTGGGAGAGACCTCTAATCCCAGGTGCGTTTTCATGCTTTTTATCCTGTATTGGAAATGCATATCCATAGTATTCCATTCTGAGAACAACAAATGTCTTAAGTCTACATAGCAGCTGTAGATGTTTGCCTTCGCTGGAAATATAGAGTTCCAATACTGGCCAAAAAAGTAATACAAAATTAATTCAAGACAATTTAATTAAAGTTTATTTGTATTTGTTTTAGATTTTCATGTATTTTCCTATAATTTCATTCACACTTGGTCCCACAAAAAAAAACATGCATACCTATAAGTGTTTATTTAAGCACTCTTATAATAAATTATAATATTTTTAAGTAAAGTTTTAGGCATTATTATTAATTAATATGATTAAGTGACTTTTAGGCATTATTTCATGATAAGTTTCTGGTTGGTCACAAAGTCACTGTGTTTGAAAAAAGATGACATGTATTTATTTTTTTTAATGTAAGCCAAATCAGCCAAAAATAATCACTGATATTCCTTGTTACTAATCACTAACATTACATTATCCCATGTCATGCACCATGTCTGTTGTATATTGCTCTTTTTGGCTGATGTTGCAGGTCATTCAGGTATGCATACAAACAATTGACACACTGTATATGTTGCACATGCTGAATACGAACCTAAGCAGCAGTATGAGTACTATGTTATTGTGAACATAGCCATTGCTTTGAGTTAAAAGCCAGGACAGTCATGACCTAGCCTTGACTTAATTTCTGTCTCCCTATCATTAGTGCATGACCCCAGATGAGTGTAGAGAAGTCTTTGATTTATACAAAAGATTTTGTGTTGCCTTGTTTTCCCAAAGAAATTGTACTTGCTATCTATATTTGTGGATCTGTTGGTCTCATCCTATCTTAACTCATTCTCTCGTCTTTTACCTGCTGCCATGTATCGATGCATGATCAATTTCTCAAAAGCAACCTTTAATGACGTCTGCACCAGTATTAATGAAATCGCCTGAATTGTTCAAAGCATGTTTATCTGAGGAACATCAAAGTGTGTTGTACTGAACAGCAAATGGCTGCTTTGTCCCTCCTTAGTTTGATAGCCATGATTAAACGTCATAATAGTGAGATTTTGCCATGATAACTCGCACTTCAAAACATCCAAGCAAATCTCCACTAGACGTTTGGCAGCACAACACATGGAGCTGAATTGAATAGATGATGGAGTTATTCCGAGAGGACGCAAGGTCATTTCCTGCAGTGCATCATGTGCATCAACTTGATTTTTGATGGAAGTGGCTTGAACCTGCTGCATGTGTCCTGTTCACCACCACGTCTCTTTTCTCTGATGAGAGAGTGTGAGCGCGGAGCCAAAAGGGGTCTTTCATCGGCCTGCTTCCCTGCCTGTGCAGTTCCCCACCTCCCAGCACCTTATGGAGTACTGTGTTACCACACACAAACACTTCTTACGGGGGAATCGGGGTCTCTCGTACAGCTAACATCTGTTTTCCCAGATGATTCTGTTACTGTAATTCCCTTTCACAAAAGCAAGGTCAGGGATTCAGGGCGGCCTCTTTCCCGCTGCAGCCCAAATGTTTACATTTATTAATCTCTTCATATATTCACACATAAAGTGAGGTGGAGTACAGCAATAGCACTGGTCTGGCACAAAAAGCTATTGGACCCTCCTAGACCACATTTTTACGTGAGTTATAGAGTGATCACACTAGATTTTAATCAAGCAAAATAATTTTTCTGCAACAAACCTCTTTATGTAACAAATAATTAATAATCAGGAGTCCGACAGTCATGGGAAACCTGGAAACACTGTATTTTTAAAATCAGGTTTTCTAGGCCTAGGGATTTTTTTTTATATATATATATATATA